ATAATAATTAAGTATTCTGTTATAATTTAATGATTATACTAATTATATTTTAGACTTTTTATATTTAAAATGAGATGTTTATCCTGTATTTGATTGTGTTTATTTGCAGTTAGTTACACGAATTCAAATATGGGATAAAATCGGATAGGGATGAAATCATTTAGAGATAAACAAGTTTAAGAGTTTTAAGAGTTTTTAAGAGTTTTAAGAGTTTTTAAGAATTTTAAGTGTTTTTAAGAGTTTTAGTCAAATGTTTTATAAGATAGTATAGATATATACATAGGGTATATTTCAAATGCAATCATGTCTATTTGTACAACCAATACAACGCAATCAATTTATATATTTATGAAAATAATGAAAGTTCATTTATTATGATTTGAATATTTATAGAAGATAACTATAGTTCATTAATTATGATCAATAATTTATATTAGGAAACAATCAAAACCTTTATGAAATCACATATTCATCAAACTAAATGGACGGTTGAGATTGAGTTATATTGGTTGTACAAATGTAAATGGTTGAATAATAACTCACCTATATACATATATATTTATTATTAATTAATAAATATATTTGATGTTCAATATTTGTAATTAGTGTAGTGACGATTTATTAATTTTTTATTTTGAAATACATTGTTTTAATTATTTTTACTAAACGTGTACCTTACAGGTTCCCCAAAACCCGTTGGAGATTCTCTCCTCTCGAACACGTCAGTGATTCTTTCCTCCCGAGCTTGTTGAGATTGATCGGATCGAGGACGGGGGTCGAGGGATGCATTATCCGCATTGTTTCCATCTTTGATCAAAACTTGATTTTTATATTCTCAATGCATGATTTGACTTTATTTTGACATAAAAGAAATGCATATAAAAATATTTTCAACAGATTCTCCAAATTTTCTTCGAAATGGCAAAAATCAAAATCTCAAAAAAAAAAAATATATATATATATATATATATATTCATCCACAACAGAATTTTCGTTTTAAAAACTATAACATCAATTATAATATTAAGATATTCAATGGAATAAGTTTTTGTTTAAAAATATAGAAGGCGACTGTACGGCGGCAACAGGCGAGAAGCAGGCGACTGTACGGTGAGAAGCAGACGGCAAGCAGGAGGCAAGCTTCAGGCGACAGGAGACGTTTTCGTCTTCTCGGTGCATTTCCGGCAAGTTGCAGGCGGTAGAAGGCGACAAACAGGCGGTAGAAGGCGGCAAGCATCTGGGTCTTCTCGGCGCTTTTCCGGCGAGTTTTTTCTGTGAAGTGTCTCTCTACAGCTCCCCGGCGGGAGAAGAAGATTTCCCGGCAGGCAGCAGGCGGTAGGAAGAAATCCCGGCAGGCGTCGGTTTTGGCTGGCAGCAGGTGGCAGGAGAAGTTTTCCCGGCAGGCATCGGTGTTGGCTTTTCCGGCTATTTTTCTGTGCTTTCTGCTTCTCTGGCTTTTGTGATGGCGGAGAAGAAGGGCTGTTTTGAAACTGATGGCTGGCAAATGGTGAACAGAAGGGATAAGCGTAGAGGTAAGGTATCAAACTTCTTCTTCACTAAATTTCCAGAAAATTGGGATGAGGTTGCTTTGGAGAATATGTTCAAAAGATTTGGTCGGGTTTCATCTTTATACTTGGCTAGAAAGAAAACAAGCAAAGGAACCAGATTTGGTTTTGTAAAATTCCTTCATGTTGGTGATGAGAAAGCTTTGGAAAGGAAGCTTAAAAACATTACTATCGGCACGGTGAGGCTGATTATCAATCTGGAGAAATATGGCTATGTGAAAAAGAAGATAAACATGGGGGATTATTCTCACATGCAGGCTAATATAGTCAACAGAAAGGAGGCTGGCAACCCGTCTCATAAACGGGACGTTTTCTCCAAGTCAGGATGTGTGGATGGTAGGTCCTTTAAGCAAGCAGTTCTTGGCGAGTCTCCTCCAAATCGTCAAGAAAGGTTTGTTAAAGCTGATATTAACATGTATTATGTGGAAAGGTTGCGCAAGAGTTGGGTGGGAAGGGTCAAGAGTATTGAGTTGCTTAGAAATTTAAAGAAAATTCTCCAAGAAGATGGCATGGGTGACTGCAAATTGCAATATGTGGGAGGTCTTTTTGTTATTTGTGAATGGAGCTCGAAGGAGGTGGCTGAGAAGAGTTTGGTCGAAAATAAAGACATGTTAAAATATTGGTTTCAGGATATTAAAATGTGGAATGAGAAGCTCTTTTTTCAGGAGAGATTAACTTGGATTGACATTCAAGGTTTACCTTTAGAAGCTTGGTGTGACGTAAACATTAGAAAATAGCAGAGCCTTTTGGTAAGATTCTTGATTTCGATAAGCCTTCTTTCGATAACGATATGGTTTGTTCTTTTGGGGTCCTGTTAGCTACTGGTATGGCTTGCTTAAATTCGGTGGTAAAGGTGAAAGTAGGTGAAAAAATGTGTTCTATAAAGGTCTTTGAGGACCATAACCGCATAATCTTTTTGCATCCTTCAAATGACGTTCGTTCTAGTTTTAATTCGGATTGTGAGGATGACGTTGGCTCAAATAGCGGCATATCGGACTCCTTTTCAGATGACTGTGTATCACCGGTCTTCTCGGAAAAAATGGTTGAAGGATTCAAAAAGCAATCATGGGACGAAGTCAAGTCCTTTGGGAAGTCAGTTCCTTTAGCTACTGAGAATGCTTTGAATGCTAATCAAAACCCGGGTTTGGGTGGAAGCCCAAAGCTTCAGGCCCATGGTTCTACTTCCAATTTTTCTTCGAAAACCCGGCATCAACAGGCCCAAATCAATAGAAAAGATGTTTTTGGGCTTGAGTTATGTGGTAATTGCAGATCTTCATCTTCCCATAGCTCTCAGCCTTTATCTGTTGATGTTGTGGCAGAGTCAAAGGAGGTGATCGGAAGTGCTATCGGAGTGCAATACAATGAGGAGAAAGCAAGGGGAGCCGAAAGCGGGAAACAAGATGGTTCTCCGCGATAATCTGTTGTGGTTCTTCGATTTTTTGGGTCTTTCATTTTTTTTTCTTTATTCCATGAAGATTCTTTCCTTAAACTGCTGTGGGCTTAAAGCCAATGGAAAGTCTGGTAATATAAAGGATCTTTTGCAAAAGGAGAAGTGTTCGGTGTTGGGTTTGCAGGAAACAAAATGCGATGGGCTTTCAGATGCTTGGTTTGCGTCAATTTGGGGATGCAGGAGTTTTGGCTATGTTCTTGTGAGCGCTTCTGGTCGTTCCGGGGGTATTCTTTTATCTTGGGATGAAAGTGTCTTCCTTAAAGAGTCTGAATTGAAGGGTGACCATTTTTGTGGGGCAGTTGGTTCATGGCAAAACGTGGATAAGAAAGTTGGCCTGATAAATGTCTATAATCCTCAAGCTCATTTGCAAAAGGTAAGAGTCTGGGAGGATCTTAGCTCGGTGATTTTAAGCGCTCCGGATGTTATCTGGGTGATTTTGGGGGATTTTATTGCGGTTCGTCATCCTGAAGAAAGAATGGGATCTATTTTCGACTCTAAAGAGGCTTCAGATTTCAATAATTTTATATCCTCCTCTGGGCTTCTTGATATTAATTTCTGCGGCAGACGCTTCACCCGATTTAGCAAGGATGGTTCAAAGATGAGCAAGCTTGATCGCTTTCTGGACTGCGCATTAACTTATCCAAATGCAATCTCTTTGGTATTGGTGTCTCGGAGGCAGAAGTCAATAATATGGCAGTTATGTTAAAGTGTAAGGCCTCTTCCTTTCCTTTCTTTTATCTRGGGCTTCCTGTTGGAGGTAACATGAACAAAAAAGCTTCATGGTCCGTCGTGGAAGATAAATTCCTTAAAAAGCTTTCAATTTGGAAGTCTCATTGCCTCTCCATAGGCGGAAGATATACTCTAATTCAGTCGGTGTTATCTTCTCTTCCGCTGTTCTTCTTTTCCCTGTTCAAAGCGCCCAACTCWGTTTTAAAAACTTTGGRATCTATAAGGAGAAKATTTTTTTGGGGTTTTAAGGAGGATGAAAAAAAATTGCATTGGGTTGCTTGGGAGAAAATTTTGAGCCCTAAGTCGACTGGTGGTTTGGGTATCGTTAGCTTAAAAACGAAAAATGTTGCTTTGTTAGCAAAATGGGTATGGAGGTTCTTGTCCAGCTCTAATGCGATTTGGAAGGATGTCATTTCTGAATTTTATGGTGAGGATGGGGGTCTTTTTTCAAATAGGCCTTTGGTTGGAAAAAGTGTTTGGGCTTCTATTGTCAACACTTGCAAAAACGTGGAAGTTGCAGGTCAGAATGTCATCCTTTCGTTTACAAAAAAGGTTGCTAAAGATTCTTCTTCTCTTTTTTGGAAAGATGCGAGCATCGGACAAGGCTCAAAGTTGAAAGACCTTTTCCCCAGACTTTATGCCTTGGAAAGGAATAAAAATGCTTCTTTCAAAGACAKATGGACTTATATTAATGGTTCTTGGAATGGTGCTTGGGATTGGAAAACTATGATTAGGGGTAGAAGCTTAGATGATCTTCAAGMCCTAGAAAGAAAACTCTCTCTTGTGGATTTCAATACTTCGGGTGAGGATATTTGGTTGTGGAATTGGAACAAGAACGGGATTTTTTCGGTCAACTTATTGTCCAAATTAATTCAAGGGGCGGWTGAGACAAATGTTGGAAGCAATRATCCGTTTTTTTGGAGTCCTTTAATTCCTAAGAAGGTAAACATCTTCACTTGGCGCTTCCTTAAAGAGGCCATTCCGGTAAGATTCAATCTTTCAAAAAGAGGAATTCCGTTACAATCTTTGGAGTGCATCTTTTGCGGCAAAGGTGTTGAAACTTTGGACCATTGTTTCTTCTCTTGTTCGGTGGCAAGCATTCTTTGGAGGAAAATATGGGCTTGGTGGGATCTTAAAGCCCCACGGCTTTCCTCGGTGTCTGATTTTACAATGTTGATCAAACAAGTAGGTACTCATCGCAAGGTTGGAGTGATTTTCTTATCAGTGTGCGCCGTGGCGCTTTGGCAACTTTGGAAGTGGCGGAATGAAATTTTTCATGCTAAGGATGATGTGGAAGCTAAGAAGAGAGGTGAAGACCCATTCCCAGGTGTTCAAAATTTTTCCAAGCTTTGGATGGGGAACAGGAATCATAAGTTCCATCTTAATTGGGATAGTTGGTCTTCTTCTCCTTACCTTGTTTAGTCTACTTGCTTGTCTCAGACTTGGGTTTTGCTTTGGCTTTAGTTTGGGGTTGTCTCTTTTTGCTTCTTTTTGTTTTCGTTTGTTATTGTGGACTCTTGATTCCTCTTGTGTCTAGCTTCTTGCTGGATCGTTTTGTTTAATTTTATTGGTTGGCTTGGTGAGGGTGATGGCCATGCCGAAGCTCTCCTCCTTGTCCTTCCTTTTTTGCCTTTCAAAAAAAAAAAGATATTCAATGCATTTAATAAAAATTATTTTCTCTCTCATAGACATCTAGTTTCGAAGACTTTTATTGGTGGTAATAATAAAATATTATTTCTCACTCAAGGAGCGGAACCAGAAATTACATAAGCGCGTGCACCAATAAAAATATAAACAGCAATAACAATTATATTATATGCAGATCTTTACAGAATCAACAATGACCTCGTCGAGTTTTCATTTTCTAAAACCTGTCTATGCATATTAAGATGTAATATAAAACCTATCAACATCGTTCATTTACAGCGTAGATGATGAATCACCGTTTTTTTTCTTTCTTTTGATCAAATATTTATCCATGAGGACCATGACTGTCAAATTTAACTAAAATTAATATAGAAATTTTGCATTGATACAGGAATGACGGGAAAGAAGAATAAAAATTGAAACTTTGACTTGTGACATTCAAAAAAGTGATACAAGTTTCTTAACGAAAACACGAAATCAAAATCTAAGTAGCTCACATAACATTTTCAAAGTTTAAAAAATCAAAACATAAACTGAAAATCGATACCTTAACCTATGAGAATTGAGAGGTTAGAGTGGCTATGGCCTGTGGGAGGCTGGGAAGGGGAAGGGGAGTGGTCTACGCCATGAGAGGCGGAGTTGTGGTGGTTGTAGTCGGTTCAGGAGCTCCGATGATCGGTAGCGTGCAAGGTGTGTCAAAAGTTCAGAGGTGAGAAGGATAGACGTAGGAAGCGATTACAATTTCATTTAAGTTCTCAAGAGGTAATATTTTAGATGTAGAAAGCAGTAACTACATGGGTCAAATTTTAGGGAGGACCAATAAATAATACATATTTATACCAATAAATTATTTAGTGCAAGGATGTATTTTTCCCCCTCTTAGAAAGTTAATAAATATTAAATTCTTTTTAATTTCTACCAATTTTACACGATGTACAGACTCTCAGTACATCTGGTATCGGTGGGTTGTAACCTAATACTATTATTTTTTTAATCATAAAAAGTTAAAACATATTTGATAAGTTGTCATCCGTTGTATCAATAATTACAAAATCTGTCATTCACCAGTCAAAATGAGTACGAAAATAAACTCACACACCCTCCTCACTTTTTGGTAATGTTTGAATCTCTGACCTCCTAATAGACCAACGACTACGATACCGCTAGACCAAAGACCATTTGGTATGTTTTAGAACTTGGTTGTAAAGGTTTGTTGGTATCTGTGGCTTAAACAATATCACTGTTACATTATTATTATTATTATTATTATTATCTCTAACAAATCGAATACTTATTCTTATTGTAGGCATCAGTTACTGGAAAATCAAAAGCTAATATAACATTTTGTTAGGTACGGAAAGTAATCAAAAAATTGAGGACTGTATCTTAATGTAGACGTGATATATATCTTAATGTTTATGTTTGGGTGTAGTTTATATGTGTTTTTTTCTTGATACTACGTAAATGATCATACCTCAGCCATATTAATTGGTTTAACCTTTTAACAGTTACAGATAAATATTTATTAAAGAAAAAACAAATAGTATGATGATTTTTCCTACGGAAAATTGACGACACATTTAAGCATGGACGAACCCATAGAAGTGCATATGGTGGCACGCACCACCGTATTATCTCTCTAGCGAAAGTTAAAAAAATGTATGCTTATGAAAGGTGTAATTGTATCGTTTTAGACTGTATGATATTCAAAAGTGTAAGTAGGTGCAACCGTATCTCGTAATCAACCAAAAAAAGAACTCTTGAAATCAACCAAAAAGCCCTTCGAAATCGATAAAAAAACAAAAAAGTTCCTCGAAATCAAGTAAAAAAAAGTTTAAAAATCCATCGAAACAGTGGAATTAGGCTTAAACACATCGAGCGATATTGAACACTAGTAAAAACATGAAGACACGTCGATAAAAACCGTGCCTCTTGTAATTATTTTTTATCTACATTATATGGTATCACCGTATAAAAAAAATATCGGGTTTGTCCCTGCATTTAAGACAAGATAAAATACCAGCTCACAAGGACCCTCGTTATTAACGTTTGTAACTTGGGGTGTAAACGAATTCATATATGAAAGCTAATCTAAAACAATGACCCTGCAAATCCCTATGATTCACACGTAATTTTGTACCGAAGTTATGTAAGAAAACAGTTCAATCACATGTAATTTTATACCAAAGTCATGTAAAAAAACAGTCGAGTCACATGTAATTTTATACCCAAGTCATGTGTAAGATGAAATATGATTTGCACAACTTTGGCCGCAACCTAAGATTGCAGGTCACGTCACACACACACTCTTGCATTGACCGTTAATACATAATTATATGTAATTTGATCGTTTTCGTATTCTTTTATTTAATTATTGTTTTTGTTTTAAAAACATTAAATATTACAATTTTGATAAGACGACAAATAATAATGTAAGGCTCGTTTATCACAACAAATTATTTAAATAATAATTGATTAAATTTTATGCGATTGAAATTCCTAATTTGGTGTTACACTTAACACTTTAATGCTGGCGCATACACATTGCCAGATAGACACCAGCCCAGGGCCAATTTCGGTAGTTGCATCTTCAATTTATTTATTTAAAAAAAAACCGAATACTTGATTTTATACTATATTTTGTCGTATAGTGATAAAGTGTATATTTTTCAACCTTAATTTAATGTAAATAAAAAAAGTAATGGTTGTCGCTACACGACAAAACAAATATGAGAAAATACATATGACCTACAAACTCATTTCTGACATTAACCAGTTGTCACCTATCTTATCAAGTTAGCATAACAATGATTGATAACGTTGCTTGCTAAGTGAGGGAAAAGACTTTTATTCAGTAAAAATGTTTACTAACATTTCATTTTGATGATTGAGAATATTATACCATAAGCCTTTGGGTAAATTGCATGAAAAAATAATGTATTTTAACTAGATTCCTATTTTGGGTAACGTACTTTCAAATCTTCCATTTAGAAACTCAAGATGTAAACTTTTAAACATTTAAGTATCCGGGTAACGCATTGAAGGATTAACCGGTTACCATGATGATGTGGCGAGCGAAATGGTATCCAACTCAGTATTATTTGCTGACGTGGTTAGCAAATATGAATTTTTTAATCTAAAATTATTATTTTTTTCTAAAATTAGTGTTCAACCGTTACCCGTTACTTGAATGTTTAAACTTTACATCTTAGTATCAAAATAGAAGTTATGAAAGTACATTTCCCAAAATAGAAATAAGTACATTATTTTTTCATACAATTTACTTTAGTCTCTTGTTGGTAAACATTTACCCAGTAAAAAATATTTACT